TTATTTCAAACTACAAACCATGTTATGGGACTATATATTTTCCTCTTATTTACAAATGGGTATTGTTTTTATAAATTTTTTGTTTTTTCCTAAAATGAATCGTGTGCAGCGGTTTGTGTATCTTTGCCTCCCTGAAAATGAAATAAAGCGTGCGCGATTTGTAGGGAAAAAAAAAGTGGAATGATACAGTCCTATTTGGTGTTCTCTGTATAGTGGACAACGTGACACTGCCAGTCCCAGAAAGTAAGCAAAATAGCATAAGCACAAGTTGATGCGCGTGAAAGAGAAATGTAGATGGAGATGCTAATAAGGGTAGCAAATAGCATCAATTGTAACGTAAAAGAAGGAAGATTTTTAAAGTAAGTCAAAAGAGTGTGGGTTGCAAATATTACAGCAGCAGGAGCAGGCGCACAAAGTCACCAACACAACACAAAATACCGGTCCTCGAGTAGAGAGAGAGAGATTCTGACACACAGTAGTAACAGAACAAGTGCTGTTCACTGGCCCAGCAAGCCTTCATTCACTTGGTTACTTTTTTTTTATTTTTTTTGATAAACTCGGCTAAAGCTTAAAGTTTTTGGACAAAAGAATTGTCTGGTTAAAGCTGATTGGATAAATTTTTTCAAAGTAATACAGTCAAACATGTCAGTTATGCTGTCGGGTTATAATAGTCTTTATACTTATGATTTTTTAAGATTTCAATATCAAAACGACGTCGTTTTGGGAATAAATGCAGATAACTTATCTGCATTAACATTAACTGCAGAAACATTTTTCCCTAAAAACATTGCTTAAATAAAAGATATTGATTTTTCTTGTAAACTAAAATAACATGCATTAAACGACAAAGAATAAAAAAATTTCTTCTGATTGTTACCTAAAAAAAGAAAGATTTTTTCTTCTGAGAATACCTACAGATTTTATTTTATTTTTAAAAAAAGAAGAAATAGCGATTAACCCCAAAAAGAGCGAGGGAGTGGTGATTAATTGTTAGGAAAAATGTTTGTGGTTTTAAAAGATATATAATTGTGTTATTTTAAGTAAAAGAAAGATATAAAATAGTATTGTTTTATTTAAATTTTAAAAAAATATACCCATTTCTCCTTCTATAATTTCCATTAATTATTTGTATCTTTCTATCACTTAAAATAATATAATTTTATGTTCTTAAAAAAAAAAAAAAACACTCAAACCTTAATTGTTATTTTAAGCAAATAAAGCCTTCCTTCAGAAACTTCGGGTTTTATATTTGCACGTCTGAAACCGCTTAATGTATGACTTTATGGTTGCACGAGAGACCTCTCTCTCTCTCTCTCTCTCGTCTTTCCCTTATATGCTTGTTTAGGACACAATCATTTGAAGGGGTTTGGCCTAGGGTTTCAAAGAGTCGTTTAGGGCAATATTTAATAGTGCAGTCTGTGAGAGAGAACCCAACATGACCCTGTCAGTTTTTCTGCATGACAGACATTTGCAGTGGTGCAGTTATCACTCACTGTGAGTGCAAAACAACACCCCTAGCCTCTTCCCACCTTAATTTGCATCTTCTTTCCCACACCCCTTTTCTGAAAAATTAAGATTGATATTACACATGTCGATCTTATTCAATGTCAAAACTTGTGTGTGTTTGTAGGTATTATTGTGTCTATTTGCTCTCTCTTCTCTTCTTCTATGTTTTTTTTTTTCGTAAAAATTACATACTTTGTTTCCAGTGCTAAATAACTCGCTTTAGACCCCGGTAATAGTATTATTAATATCGAATGGTGAAATTTGGTTGGTGGGTTAGCAACCAGAACGTCAACATCAGGATAAGCACAGGAAAGAACAATTGTTGGTGCACTAGTAATTATACATTTTGATTAATTCTACTTTTTCAATTAGAGGTGATGAATTAGGGTTGAACAAGTAACAGGAAGATCCACAACCATAATTAAAGAAAAATAGAAAGAAAAAAAAAGAAGAAGAAGTGGGGATGAGATCAAGTTTAGATCTTGGCCTTCCTTATTAAAAGTCAGATTTGATGGATATGAGAGACCAAGTTAAGGAACTAGAGATGCCAACCACAGTGGGTTATAATCTCCCTAACAGGGTTTCCTCTTCTTCCAAGCTATCTTCTTCAACTCTAGGGGAAAGAAGTGATCAAACTCCTCAAACTCACACATTAATTTTCAGTGATCCACCTCAAACTGCTCATCATAGTCATCTTTCTCCCCCTTTTCTTCCTCCAAACCCAATTCAACTCCAACAACCAATCAGACCCAGAAGAGATCCAGATCCAAATTCTTCTTATCCTATTGCCACCACAAGCAGAACAAGCACCCCAATTGCTAGTGGATCAAACCCCACAAGAACAGAAACACCACCACCACAACCACCACTACCACAGACAGCAAGAACAAGAACAAGAACAACAACAACATCTATTAGATACCGAGAATGTCTGAAGAATCATGCAGCTAGCATGGGGGGTCATGTTATAGATGGATGTGGCGAGTTCATGCCAAGCGGAGAAGATGGAACCCCAGAATCCATGAAATGTGCTGCTTGTGATTGCCACCGCAATTTTCACAGAAAAGAAGCTGAAGGAGAACCACAACATGTTCTCAACTATCACAGCTATTATTACAACAAAAGCAACGGTCAGAATAGGATTCATTCTCTTCTTCATCATCATAGACTTTCTTCACATGGGGTTGCCACCACTTCAGCAGGGCTGATTCAGCCGATGACGGTGGCCGTTGGTGGAAGCGGTGGAGGCCCAGCTGAGTCCTCTAGTGAAGATCTCAACATGTTTCAGTGTAATGATGGAGTTCAATTATCAGTGCAGCAGCCACCACTATCAAAAAAGAGGTTCAGGACAAAGTTCACCCAGCAACAAAAGGAAAGGATGATGGAATTGGCTGAGAAACTTGGGTGGAAGATCCAGAAACAAGATGAGCATGAAGTACAACAAATTTGTTCTCAACTTGGTGTAAAAAGACAAGTTTTCAAGATTTGGATGCACAATAGCAAGCAAGCCATGAAGAAGAAGCAAATGTAAGCCTACACAGCAGTGCCCTTTCATCTCTTCTAGATTGTTGATTTTGTTTTCTTTTTTGTTAAATAAAAAATTAGAGATTTTAATTTTTAAGTGAATAAATATCTTAGATGTGAAAATACTTACAGATAAGGAAATCACTAGCGAGCTAGATACATTAATTAGTTGAAAGCAGCTATTTATTTGTCTCATCTGTATGCTATTAATTAACATGATTTGACCATTTAATTTCAATCTGCCATCTTGTGTGTTATGTTCTTTGATAAACACATGCAGCAACGAAAATATGCATCAATTAATTCTCACCTCTTCTCTTTTGGCGTGACGAGCCCATTTTCCCCGAGGTCAAGATTCTAAAGTAGGAAAAAGAAAGAAAAAAAGAAAAGAATAAAGAAGGACATGAGAGAGAGATAGGGGTCACGACAATCTTTGGTTGTGGAGATATGAACTTGGCTGTTTCGTTTTGTCATAGCAAGTTAAGCTAGGTGTGATGGTACTATTTCATGCATTATTATCCTTTGAAGTAGTTTCTTATTTTAAAAATCATGGAAATTGGAAGCCTCGATTCGTGAACCTATTCGCTTTCTTGCAAATCGAAGTTGAAGGCTTTGGGGTAAATAGGATCCCACACCCACCCAACCCCACAATTTTGTCCTCTAATTGGTTACCGACAGATGAATTATCAGACAATACCCACTCTTTTCTCAATTTGCCTTTCTGAGGTAATTGAATGTGTGTGGTCTACCTGACTAATCAAGATATAACCAAAAAAAAAACAAAAAAAGGGAACACGAGAGAGATTTCTAGTTTTTTAGATGATTTTTTTTTTTTTTTGTTATTCATAGGTTTATCGATTACTCAATTAATTTGATTTGAATTGGATAAAATTATATGGGTGAGAAAGCTCTTCCTATCAATTTCTTTTTTATAACCAATTCTAATTATCTCTTTGAGGCTAATCAGATCTCTCGAGTGTTCCACAAGTTTGACTTTTTAAACTGTCTATGAAACTAATTCAGAGTTTGGAGCCGTAGTATGAGATTAGGGTATTTTTTGTCTCTCCTCGATGTGGCATTTGGTGGGACTCGAACCATGGTTCTTGTCCTCACCTTGCTGATCAGTCCCCCCTACAACGAACTCTTTGTCTCTCTCCAATGTTGCATTTGGTGGGACTCGAACCATGGTTCTTGTCCTCACCTTGCTCCCCCTGCAACGAACTCTTCTTACCAAGTTTTAACATAACTTTCTTTCTAGAAATTGGTATTAATTAAGCTGGAACAAACCCGTTGATGATCTCTAAACATTTTACTATTACGTTATGTTCGATACGAATTTTTTCCATGATCTACGATGCTGTGTAATTATGCCGTCTTTGTGCAAGAAAGGTAAACCAGCTACAAAAAATTATTATGGATGAGTATGAATTACGTAGTTATGCAATAGGGGAAATTCAAAAGGAAAAGAAACCGATGGAGTGTTTTAAACTAGAGGATAAGGAGTGTATTAGATTAGGATTTTAAAAGACTTTTTTTTTTGAGATAAAAAATCCTACAGATTTTAAAAGACATTTTAGAATTGGAGAGACTTTATAGACTTTTTTAAAAGACTTTTTTTACGATCAAGATTTCATAAGATTGGATTTTAAAGGATTTTAATAGAATTCATAAGATTTGCAAGGACAATATGGATTTATAAGATTTTAAAAAACTATATGAATTTTTAGCAAATATTCAAATTTACAAGAGTCAATAAAAACAAATAACAAAGAAATGCAATGATATTAATAAAAAAAAAAGTAAACTTAACAACGGGTTGAAAATTATCTCAAAAATTACTAAGCAACAACTCTCCACATATACTCTGGAGGAGATTGCGTTAAATATTTCTGAAGCTGCTGGTTTTAAGAGAGTGAGGAATGTAGGGCGTTATCTTGGAGCCTGGAAGCAGCATGGTTGAGACACAAAGGATTCTTATGCTGCTATTTTGGATAAAATGAAGGATAAGCTTACAGGTTGGCAATCTAAATGCTTATCTCAAGCTGGCAGGGTCACTTTATCTCAATCTGTGTTGGCTGCCATCCCCTACTTCCAAATACAATGTGGAAGGCTTCCTAAAAATGTTTGTATGGAGATTGAGAGGATTCAAAGAAGGTTTATTTGGGGGGATACAGAAAGTCAAAGACATATGCATCTTATTAGTTGGGAGACTATCACTAAGCCTAAGCTGAAGGGAGGTCTGGGTTTAAGAAAAATGGAGTTCATGAATGATGCTTTTATGGCGAAGTTAGCCTGGGCTGTCTACTCTCAACCCCAAGCTTTATAGGTGCAAGTGTTAAGAGCTAAATATGCTCACAATAGAGAGGGAAATGATATCTTTGGTTCCAATTCAGGGGATTCAAGATGCTGGATTTATATATGCTTAGCATGGAAAAAATTGGAAAAAATTTTAGTGTGGGAAATCAGAAATGGTAATACTGTTTCGTTTTAGAAGGATAATTGGATATACATCACAGGTAGGATTTTGGATCAGTCTTCTAGTCCGATTCCTTGGGATGACGTGAACAAAAAAGTTTGTCAGTATGTGGATGATTTTGGTCACTGGAATTTAGAGGGGACTGCTAATTGGTTATCTAATGAAGTTCTCAATTGTATAAAGAGCTATATGCCCCCTGCTCCTAGTGATGGAGTGGATCGACTTGTTTGGCATTTTCCTGGCCATCCTCGTCAGTCTGTTAAAGGTATTTATGAAGCTTTCACTGATTCAGATAATAGACATAGTAGCCATTCAAAACTTTGGCAGTTGATTTGGAATTGGAAGGGTCCCCAAAGAATAAAATTTTTCTTATGGAAAGTTGGTCATGGGCGGTTGCCTACCAAAAAGTTAACCTCTAAGTTTCGATTGGGAGATGCTCTTTGTCCTGTTTGTGAAAATGAGGAGGAAGATTTGCTCCATGTTTTAAGAGATTGGAAATTCATCAAGGAGGTTTGGGTTAAACTTATTCCTTCTGTCTTGTCTAAGTGGTTTTTTTCTATTAGCTTGCATGATTGGTTAGTGAATAATTTGAGTCAAAATTTGAAAGGCCCTTCTAGTATTCCTTGGTCAATTTTGTTTGCTATAACAGTTTGGTTGTCTTGGTTTTGGAGGAATGGGAAAGTGCATGGTTCTAGCGGGGTTGGGAATAACTATAGGATTGAGGGGGTTAAAGACAAAGTTGTCGAAATTTTCAATGCTATATACATGTCAGATACCTCTGTTGTTACTAATATTTATTCGGAAGCTTTGATTTCTTGGACTCCTCCTGAGATTGGGTGGGCTAAGCTGAATACTGATGGTGCTTCGAAAGGGAACCCGGGTAGAGCAGCTTGTGGAGGAATTATTTGTGGGTCAGATGGCCAATGGATAAATGCTTTTTCTTACAGAGTGGGTTTCTGTAATGCGATAACAGCAGAGTTATGGGGAATTCTTAAAGGTTTGCAGTTGGCATGGGATGGCGGTTGGAGAAAGGTAATTCTTGAAAGTGATTCGTTATCAGCTATCACTTTGCTCACCAAGGTTGGTGATGCATCCTGTGAGTCTCACCTTGTGGCTCGAATAAGGGAATGGATTGCTAGAAGATGATCGGTTCAGCTTGTTCATACTTACCGGGAAGGAAACATGTGTGCGGACTGGTTGGCAAATTTTCTGCTGGATTATACGGATCAAAAGGAGTTTATGAACTTCCATTCTCCCCCTCTAGAAATTAGATGGCTTTTCTTTGCTGATTTCAGTTCTGTTTGTAGATCTAGGAATATTCCTATTTCTGTTTTGAGTTAGTTTGCTTATGTTTTGTGGGCTTGTTGCCCTCTTATTTATCAAAAAAATAAAAATAAAATCTAATATAATTTTCTCAATGAGTTTTAGTTTGAGTTTGATTTGCGAAAATAATAACCATATATCAACAGTTAACTTCCAAGTTAAATATTAATTAACGAGTTTGATTTGTGAAAATAATAACCATTGATTGACGGAAATCAACGGTTAAAATATGATTGTAAACAAAAATAGGTTGTAACTTGTATGTATAATATTCCCCATAAAAAAATAACAAAGAAATGCAATGAAGTTAATAAAAAAAGTAAAATCTAATATAATTTTCTCAATCAGTAAAACATAATATAATTTTTAACAAACATTCAAAGTTACTAAACAACAGCTTTTCACATATCTAATAGGTTGAAAATTATCTTCTTCATTTGGTATCAAAGTTATGCATATATGATTATAAGACTCAATTTTTTTAATTATAAAAATAATTCTAAATTTGCATATAGAACCTAAAGTTCATGATAAAATTTCGTTTGAAATTTTTTGCAATTGATCTTGAAAACATTGGGGTTTTTGTTTTACGTGATGAGAGTTTTCTAACCATATATCATATGCATATTTTCATTGAATATTCTAAGAAAATTTTGAATCTAAAATTTTGGGTTTAATTACATGAAAGTTTAGAAAATTTCTCCAACTTTTTTCAGTCGATACATTGAAACCTTAAATTGCTTTGGGGCTTTTGAGAAACAAGTTTTTAGTTATCTATTGACACAAAAATTGTTTGAAATTGTTTCCTATAGTGAAGGAATTTCGTTCATGAATGTATTGTTACGAAATATAGGGTTCATATTATGAAAGTTTCAATCTTTCTTTAAATTGATATTGCTTCATTGATGTAAAACAAAAATTTGTTTTAGGGTTTTAGTTTCCCTGTTATTTTTTCACTGTTTTATGTTGTATTTAATACAAAAATCACACATTTTTGTGCCAAGAAAAACCACGACCCATAGCTTGAAAAATCACTTTTTAAACTTCCAAAATTTATCAAAAATATGTTATTTTTGAGATATATTATATTAAAATCTTGTTGGTTTGTTGTTTTTGGGTTGTTTTGTGATGAAAATCGCCCAAAATTATGCTTTTTTTTATAGTTTTGACGAAGCTCCTATGGCGAAACCCAATTTCGAGCACTCAAC